TAGCCCAAGAATTGGCGGTGGGTGGTGATGACTAGCTGCCTTCCCTCTAGTGTTACACTGCACAGTTAGGGACGGATAGTGCAGATAGCCCGCGTGTAGCTTTGCGCGAAATTAAAAAACAAACAAACAAACTTATGATATACTCTTATCACGCACAGTCTTGTTCAGTTTGCTGACTAGGTTTGAATACCACTCAAATCAAACCTACCTAGTTAGTACACTCAGCTTGTGACTGGGACGTCTCTCCCATAGTCGGGTATAGTAGAAAATAAAATATTAACAAATCCAGGAGTTTACATTTCATTGTTAGTTTTATGAAACTGAAAATTAATTGGGAAATTCTCTAACGGACAAAAAGCATATCTCAGGTGTCGCAATATTTGTAACGTCCTTTACATCACGTGGCACGCGGTGCGAGCTCGGCGTTTGACCTTGACTGGCAACCTCCCGATACACCAATGTTTACGAATATTACCCCGGTTGTGTCACGGCTTAATCTACAATGATAGAGTTAGCTGAAATAAAGTGGCCTTACGTAATACTAAACACAAGGGATGGCAAACACTCTAGAAGTGTGTTGCTTTATAAAGAAGAGCGACTTGTCGTATGTATGAACATGTAAATATTATAACTTTGCATTGTTTCATTAGAAGAATAACAATATGTGAATTATCAGTAACTTCTGATCAAAATAAGTTGTATTGTTACAGCAACTATTGTTTGACAATAATTTGTTTCTGATGTTTAGAAGTGTACAAGAAATGATCAAAAAATGTTTAAGAGTCCGATGTTATTATTGTATCAAAAGTACGTTTAAAACTTAGATTAGCGGCATCTGTAGGTTGACGGAGAACAGATAGAAATTTTGAGGATTTAACTATAGCTATATGATATTTCTTGACTCTCATTATTTGCGTGAAATTATGAAAACAATTTACTTTTATTTGTGTACGGATCAGTCTTTCAGATGATTCAAACAAAATTGCAGTCCACCAGTTAATTACCGTATTGAAATAAATGTAAAACTGAACTGAAATCAGATAAACGTTAATGTGGAGGTATCCCAAACTCTCCTACAGATACTAGGAAAGAACAAGTGTATCAGAGTCATGAAAAAAACAAAAAACAAACTTGTATCGGAGATACTTTTATCTTAGTCTCAGTCTTTCCGGCAGAACTGATCGATAAGGTTCAAGGTCGTCAGCTGATGTTTCTAGTTTTATAGCATTTCATTCTACAGTTCAATGACATGGATTGACCAAGTTTCGTTCCTCGTTAGAGGGCGCTTTAACCACCCACTCCCCTCTTTTCTGCCCTCCACCTGCTCGAGGTTTGAAAAACCTCTGTAAAACGGCGTAGCCAACAAAATCACAGCGTTCATCAGAGTATTCAAACTGATAGTCTATAAGCAGGCCGTGTATCGTTAATCTACTAAATTGTTCACATTCCTCGAGAACAGAAGGTAGGATTGCCTAGTTAAAAATAACAACATTTATTCTTGAGTATTATTTAAAGACAATCCATGGTAATTACGTAGAGCTGTATCTGTTTGAAATAATTTAGTTGTAGTAGAATTGGTACCCGACGTATGATAGCCTCCGAAAAGATCACGAACTCTTTCCTTAATACGCACAGAACTGCGCAAAGCTCGACTCGTCAATTACACCCCTGCGCCAGAGTGGTTGTAACCAACTCTTTCCGTCAGACGTAACGCTCTAGCAAAACAAATACTGCGGACGGCATGAAAGAGAACAGGAGGTAATAGTTCTTGTGCTTATCGAGAGAGGGGGTTTATATCAATTTCTTTCTACGGGTGGTAAGGAAGGACTTTACTGGTGGAGTCTTTAGCAAAGAAATAAAACCTTTAAAGACTTTATGGTCAGCGATGATTATTGCAAAAGATCTCTTCACTTTGGGTGACGAATACTTCACAATGCCCCGACGGGAGAAGTATGAAATCGCTCCAGCCACAGCTCCTGAAAACAGGTAAGATGGAACGTCTGCTTGAACATTCTATCTACGAACTTGCTTATAGTGTTTTAACAGATAGTATAATCAGTTTGAGAATATTTCCACGATACTTTTTTTTTTCGGCGTAATTCAACCCATGTTTTGTGTTAATTTTACAGCAGAGTAATGCGATCAACTTACCAGTTGATTTAAATCAAAAGCGAAAATAGTGGTAGAGATTAAATTATGCCTTTAGTAATAGTCCCCATCAGTTACATATAAGCGCCTGTAGTCCCCATCAGTTACATATAAGCGCCTGTAGTCCCTATTAGCTAAGAGTTTGTAGTCCCTGTGAATTAAGAGTTTGTTGTCTCTGCTAGCTGAGAGTCTGTAGTCCATTTCAGCTACATATAAACGCTTGCAGTCATTATCTAGCTGATGGAGACTACAGACGCTTACATATATAGCTGATGGAGACTACAAACTCTTAGCTAGCAGAGACAACAAACTCTTAATTAATAAGGACTACAAACTTTTAGCTAATAGTGACTACAGGCGCTTATATGTAGCTGATGGAGACTACAGACGCTTACATATATAGCTGATGGAGACTACAAACTCTTAGCTAGCAGGTACAACAAATCCTTAATTTATATGTAAGCGTTTGTAGTCTCCATCAGCTATATATGTGAGCGTTTGTAGTCTCCATCAGCTATATATGTGAGCGTTTGTAGTCTCCATCAGCTATATATAAAAGCGCGTTTGTGTCCACTTTCAGCAAGGCACTTGTAGTCCCTATCAATTAAGGGTTTGTTGTCTCTGCTAGCTAAGAATCTCTAGTCCCTATCAGCTACATATAAGCGCCTGTAGTCACTATTAGCTAAGAGTTTGTAGTCCTTATTAATCAAGGGTTTGTAGTTCCTGCCAGCTAAGAGTCTGTAGTCACTATCAGCTATATATATATATATATAAATGCGTTTGTGTCCACTTTCAGCAAGGCACTTGTAGTTCCTATCAGTTAAGAGTTTGTTGCCCCTGCTAGCTAAGTTTGTAGCCTCTATCAGCTATGTTTATTGTTCCTGCTAGCTAAGTCTGTAGCCTCTATCAGCTATGTTTATTGTTCCTGCTAGCTAAGTCTGTAGCCTCTATCAGCTATGTTTATTGTTCCTGCCAGCTAAGTCTGTAGCCTCTATCAGCTATGTTTATTGTTCCTGCCAGCTAAATCTATATCCTCTATAAGCTATGTTTATTGTTTCTGCCAGCTAAGTCTATATCCTCTATCAGCTATGTTTGTTGTTCCTGCCAGCTAACTTTGTAGAACTTATTAGTCAAGTTATAATCACTTTCAGCAAGGGGCGTAGTAAGCAGTATAGATTGGGTGGGAGTGAGGATATTCTCCTAAAAAAATTTGGATCTTTTTCTTCTACACAAAAAATGTAAGTGATTTACGTGAAAGTTCATTGCTTATTTATTTTAAAAAATCGGAAAATAATGGACCTTTTAGACTTCATAGAATATTGGGGTGACCTTTAGATCACCTGTCTGCTAAATTTACTGTCCTAGTAAGATAAGTTATGATCACTGTCACCTAAGTTTATGGTCGCTACCTGTTAAGTTAGCAGTCTTTCTCGGATAAGTTGTGATCAATGTCTTCCAAGCACACAGTTCTCGTCAGATAAGTTAAGATTACTGTCCGCTAAGTTTGAAGTCCTTGTCAGCTTAATTATTAGCACTGTCTGCTAAGTTTGAAGTCCTTGTTAGATAAGTTAAGATCACTGTCCGCTAAGTTATCTGACAAGGACTTCAAAGTTAAGATCACTGTCCCGCTAAGTTTGAAGTCCTTGTCAGATAAGTTAAGATCACTGTCCGCTAAGTTTGCAGTTCCTCACTGCTATGTGTATTGTTTCGTTCTACGAAGTTCGTAATTCGTGACATATTTGTAGTGAAAACGTTTGTAATAACGTTGAGAAAGCTCCAGAGTTCCTATATGACACTTGCAGCTTCAGCATAGGGGCTTATATTGAGTAAAATATACTTTTCAAGAGTTTTATGATCTTATCCTGGAACCAGAAACATTTTAATCGCAAAAAAGAAAACTTAAGGTTTTCTCTAGAGCTGCTTTCTGTAACCTATTGTCCCTTAAAAGTGAGACACTGGATCCCAGGGCGCACGTGGTTACGTACCCCTGTCCTTTTGAAAATCATAGAACCGCCAATGTTGTTCTTTATAAAAGTTTTAACAAAACTGTATTTTTCATTACATTTGTTTTGTTTTTAAGTATAGGTAATAACAATTTTTCTCTCTTTATCCCAGTACTGCTGTTCTACCAGCATGGCATACGTCTAATAAACGTAGCTATCTTAGATACATTCTGCTTTTTATACGATAAACAAAACTGTTTTTTTTTCCAACACATTTTTAATGGTACAAATTGCGTAAAAAAGTTTTTTTTATTGTTCAATAATTATTGCGGGTTGCACCTTATTGTTACGAAATAAGACAGATATGGCAAATATGGCACAAACCATCAGAGATGAATGTTGGTAACAAGTAATTAGGGGCCTACTTTATGTTAAAACCGACACCAATAAAGCATAAACTGACCAATCAAAATATCTTAATGATATTTTGTACCTGTTCTGTAAAGCTTTTTTGTTAAATCAGTTTTTCGTGTTGCCCTACCCTTGTCAGGTCAAGAGACAACACAGAAAAATTGTAAAAGTAAACCGTTTGTGTCCTTGAGTTCATCATCAATTTCAAGCAGGGGCGTTATTGTGGGATGGGGGCTTTCTAGGGGTCCCCAAATGGCAGTTTATGTGAGAAGTTAAAAGGCTTAAAGGAAAGTGTGTGTGTGTACAATGTTTCTGTGACGTCGAAAGTGTAGGGATTAGCCTGACATGTTTATTTGTTGTTAAGTTCAAAGCTACACAATGGGCTATCTGTCCTGTGCCCACCACGGGCATCGAAATCCGGTTTTTAGTGTTATAATAATATTTCAGACTTTCCGCTGACCACCTTGAGGATGGGGAGGGAGGCTGACATGTAACTTTGTTGAACGAAAAAAAATCTTTGTTGTTTTCTTCCCCAAAGTAACTGTGTCACTTTCAAACTGATCTGCCTAAAAAAAGCGCCTTCTAAATACCATTGCAACATCCCCTTTTAGTTCATTGCAATGTTGTAGTGTTATTCCTTTTTTTGCCCCCCCCCCCTCCTCCAAGCCTTTTTAGAAATGACGCCTCTGATTACAAAACTCCAAAAATAGGAATGTTGGTTATTTCTCCTCAACACGACATCCTGTACTATGTACTAAAGATAAATTTTATCAGTTAATTTTAAAGTTATCTGAAATAACGACCGTTTAGCTGTTTCTTAGGGGCATATCCTGTGGGGAAAAAAAACACTTTTCATTGTCTTGTGAGCTTATCGTGGAGCAAAAACACTTTGACTGATTCACTCTGATGTAATAAGATGTCGTAACCATTCTTAAACATTCATATATATATATAGACCTGCGATTTGGATGGGTGGCGATAAATCAACCCATTAATTTTGCCTGCTCACAAAACGTTAATTAGTATGAAGTTCATACTCATATTAGTTAAAAAGCCTTATGGGTGAAAAGAGACGAGAAAGGCTTGAAGTTGTGTTTCCTTTGGTTGATCTGGTAATAATAACAACTTGGAAATGAACGACGCTCAGCCGTTTCTAGTCTTATTTTCAAATGAAAACGCGATGGTCACGGACGCTTTAAATTATCAAAAATACCCTCTGCTGTTCCGACGTTTTCATCTTGGAGTGTAGACCGTTAATACGGTGTTGCTGGAATAGAAATTGTGTAAATAAAGCTGTATAGGTGAAACATGCGTGAAAACATTGACACTTTTTGCTAAGTCAATGTAGCGAGTAACTAATAAATCATGAAATTGAGTGATGTTTAACTTTTTAGGAAAAAGTGTACTTGATAACATCCTCTTTACTTTTACATAAATCGTGATGGAAGGGGGGGGGGTATATCCATATCTCCCTCCCACCGAATTTGAGACGAATTCCTCTTGAAACTTAGTTGAATGGATGGCAACTGCCTGTTGTAGAAACATAAGTGTAGAGGACGACGTTTCGAACGTTTCCCGCCATTCTTCTTCAGGCGGTTGCCGTCCATTCATCTTACTTTCATCATGAATACTTTTCCTGAACAATCTATCAAATAATTACTCTCTTCTTTACTTGTTTGATAAATGGATTTACTTCTCAGAAGTTGTCTGCTGCTCACACGTTTAGTAGTAACGTATAGCACGCACCTCAGCTCCATCATCTGGATAAATACGCAACTAGTTAGTAAGCCTGTAATTGGCTGAAAGTTTACATGGTAACATTGACGAGTAAACCAACACTCAATTTCCTCGGAAAATATAGAGGCGTGAATATTTTTGAGTCTAGAATTTTTCGGTAGCTATTTTGTATTCCTAAAGTAGTGACGTCACTGGCTGAAACATTACATTTTTGCTACGTAAGAAATGCCAGACTGGATAACATAAAGACAGGTATTTAGTCTCCCAAAAAGTTAAAAAAATAACAGCATCAGCGTAAATAAAAGAAGTATTTTTATATTATGTTTATGGTAAAGTTACTAAGACTTTATGCTATTGACCAAAGGGAAGACAGCCAGTCAGCTACACCCTACCACCCACACTAAGGGTTTTACTGTCACTCTTATAACGCACCCTCAGCTTAAAGTGCGGATTCGAACTCCAGAGCTCTACCACAGGGCCAACTCCCCTCATCAATACGCGAGTGCGTCTTCGTGTTTAAAATTACATCTTTATGCTTAATCCTTTGACTGCAGATGCTTTAAACGCGCGCGGAATTTTTTGCGAGCCGTAGACTGTATACAGCACACTCGCATTCAACTGCAGTCAGTGGGATAAAACGCCAAGATTCAGTCGGTATATATATAGATATATATATATATATATATAACATTATATTACATGGGTTGTACAAGATATAATATGCATATTTTTACATAGAATGTCGTC